TAAAATAAAATCCGTTGTGTATATCTTGACATCATCTTAGAATCTTGCTCAAAAGCATATTGTATTTGCAATTCAGCAGAATGGAATGAAAACATGTACGGATTACTCTCCTTCCATGAAAATAAAGCCAAATGGTTATAATTCTAAATAAATCTGTTTAGTAGACCAACTAAGCAACATCAGAGAGTCATAGGTATTACATTCACTAAATACTGAAAGAAACCACATAGCTTCCTGGAAATAAAATAATATTCGTTATTGGTCTAGATATATATCACTTTTCTAATCAAATGTCACCAAAATGACACTCACACAGTGCCAATAGAAAAATTGTTAAGTGCAGAGCTGAGAGAAGTTTTAATCATCATTTGTTCTGCCTCGAAGCAGGTAAGGTCTTCTTTCTCCATAACAATTCTGATAAGCAATGTTGGGGCCAACACTTTCCAGATGTACTTGTTGACACTGCTCTTTCCGTAGAGTCTTTGGATATAGGAGGAGAACTGTTCATTTAAAAAATCAATTATATACAGTATTTGATCTTCAGAGTAAGGATTGTAGATAAGTTCGCTCGTCATTTCCCGCAGCTCTCTCCCTCCCTGCAAAAAAAATGTTGTGTCTTTCATTGGATTCCTGGCCTTCTATCACCCTCCTCAAGAATGGAAGTAAAGCTTTAGTCTGTTTCTCTATATCTTCAATTGCCATAGCTGAGAGTTTATTGCTAAGATTTGTACTGATCTTTGGTACCAACGAAGCACTGGCATTTTCCTCTTTGAGAACTAAGTCTTCCTCTGTTAATGTCTCCTTTCCATCCAAGGTCTGACGTCTTTTGGGTGGAGACCTATTACGTGATGGGAGGGTTATGGACTTTTCTGTTGGTTTCCTTTTGACACAAGTTTGCCGAGACTGAACTCTTGCTCTCGTTCTTCTCTTTCTTTGCTTTGGTGAAGGAAGGTCCTGTTTGTAATGTATTACTTGTAGCTTTCCATCATCTGTTCTATTCACTTCCACCCTTTCAAAATTCCAAAACTCTAGAGGTTTTAGTCTTACCCTACCACTGTGTTTGCTCACATCAACCTCAGTCAAAATAGTTTTTTGAGGAACTGAAAAAGCATTAGGCCCCATTTCTGATAACATCTGAGAAGGCATCATTTTCCTTTTCTCAAGACCTGCCTGTCTGCCTGGCTCTCTACAGGGTCTCCCAACTTGTAATCATTTCTTATACACAATTCTTGACCCCATCTTTGGCTTATTTGAATGTAAGTCATGTGTATTTTCTCTGGATTCAAGTCACAAAACTGACAGGCCGATTCAAGGACGTCGACAACAAACCAACTCCATGCTTGGTGTCACTGAGAGAACCTGGAAAAGTATATATAAAATCTTACCACGCAACTTTTTATTCTATCCTCCTCTTCCACAGTAAAACATCAAAATGTCCAGTTCACTGTCTGGGGATTTTTTTTTTTTTTTATCCACTGCATGGATATATACATTTGATATCCATTATTCAGTTATCAACTTTACAACATTCCATTTGTATTTTCTATTATGAGATGCATATCACATGGACTCTTTGTTTACAACTTATACTTTGATGAACCTAGGACTAGTATATAAGTACTTTCACCAGTATTCTTACACCCATTAATATCATCATGTTCATTTTAACTTAGGAATGTCCAAGTATGTATTCTCATGTGTGAAATAAAATCAAACAGACTTAATTATAACAAAACAATTTCTTCAAAAATAAACAATGTCAAATCTTTAAGTCTAAACTTTACAGCTAAAATAAAATCTGTTGTGCATATCTAGACATCATCTTAGAATCTTGCTCATAAGCATATTGTATTTGCAATTCAGCAGAATGGAATGAAAACATGTACAGATTACTCTCCTTCCATGAAAATAAAGCCAAATTTCTTATGGTTATAATTCTAAATAAATATGTTTAGTAGACCAACTAAGCAACATCAGAAAGTCATAGGTATTCCATTCACTAAATACTGAAAGAAACCACATAGCTTCCTGGAAATAAAATAATATTCGTTATTGGTCTAGATATATATTATTTATACTATTTTTCAAATAAAATGTCACCAAAATGACACTCACACAGTGCCAATAGAAAAATTGTTAAGTGCAGAGCTGAGAGAAGTTTTAATCATCATTTGTTCTGCCTCGAAGCAGGTAAGGTCTTCTTTCTCCATAACAATTCTGATAAGCAATGTTGGGGCCAACACTTTCCAGATGTACTTGTTGACACTGCTCTTTCCGTAGAGTCTTTGGATATAGGAGGAGAACTGTTCATTTAAAAAATCAATTATATACAGTATTTGATCTTCAGAGTAAGGATTGTAGATAAGTTCGCTCGTCATTTCCCGCAGCTCTCTCCCTCCCTGCAAAAAAATGTTGTGTCTTTCATTGGATTCCTGGCCTTCTATCACCCTCCTCAAGAATGGAAGTAAAGCTTTAGTCTGTTTCTCTATATCTTCAATTGCCATAGCTGAGAGTTTATTGCAAAGATTTGTACTGATCTTTGGTACCAACGAAGCACTGGCATTTTCCTCTTTGAGAACTAAGTCTTCCTCTGTTAATGTCTCCTTTCCATCCAAGGTCTGACGTCTTTTGGGTGGAGAGCTATTACGTGATGGGAGGGTTATGGACTTTTCTGTTGGTTTCCTTTTGACACAAGTTTGCCGAGACTGAACTCTTGCTCTCGTTCTTCTCTTTCTTTGCTTTGGTGAAGGAAGGTCCTGTTTGTAATGTATTACTTGTAGCTTTCCATCATCTGTTCTATTCACTTCCACCCTTTCAAAATTCCAAAACTCTAGAGGTTTTAGTCTTACCCTACCACTGTGTTTGCTCACATCAACCTCAGTCAAAATAGTTTTTTGAGGAACTGAAAAAGCATTAGGCCCCATTTCTGATAACATCTGAGAAGGTATCATTTTCCTTTTCTCAAGACCTGCCTGTCTGCCTGGCTCTCTACAGGGTCTCCCAACTTGTAATCATTTCTTATACACAATTCTTGATCCCATCTTTGGCTTATTTGAATGTAAGTCATGTGTATTTTCTCTGGATTCAAGTCACAAAACTGACAGGCCGATTCAAGGACGTCGACAACAAACCAACTCCATGCTTGGTGTCACTGAGAGAACCTGGAAAAGTATATATAAAATCTTACCACGCAACTTTTTATTCTATCCTCCTCTTCCACAGTAAAACATCAAAATGTCCAGTTCACTGTCTGGGGATTTTTTTTTTTTTTTTCATAAATAATAACATAAACCTTCATTCATTAAGTTAATACTAGAAACAGTACTAAGAACATATATTACATTTAGAAGGAGAATCACCTGTGTAAATCTGTAATTAACTCTGGCAAAAACAAACAAACTTGCACTGAGCATATTCTGTCAAGTTACTAAATGTCAGCCTCCCTGCTTACTTTTTATTAAATAAGAACCCAATTCAAACTTAGCCCTTTGCTAAATCATGAACTACAGATTAGAGGAGAAATCGATGCTTCACACAATCGTACTCTAAACGCTTACCTTGAAAATCCTTAGCAATCACTAAGTATGTGACTGATAAAAAACCCTACATACTGTTATTCCTCAGCCTACCTTCCCTCTCCCCCAAATTGCTAATAACCCCACATTTCACCTTTTACCTGGGAGATTAGGGTTTTCATGACTGAAGAGCTTAACTTTATAAGGCAGTATATGTATGCTAGTATGTCAAATGGTTATGGAACAGTACAGCATCAAAAACTGATATGGTTATCTCTTGTACATGGGTTTGAAAATTGGATATACAGCCATTCATTACTTTCATTTTTTCCATGCATGCATATGTGTGTGTGTACGTGTGTGTGTGTATGTATATATATATATATATATATATATATATATATATATATATATATATATATATATATATATATATATATATATATATATATATACATACATATATATATATACATATATATATATACATATATATAGATCTATATATATATAGATATATCTATCATATATATAGATCTATAGATCTATAGATCTATATATATACATATGCATGCATGGAAAAAATGTAAATAATGATAGAGGACTGGGTGTTATGAGAAGCCACCCTGACACACAGTAGAAGGGACAGTAGGGTAGGAGGTATAGCTAAATGGCAGGGGATAGCTCTACAGCCACCTGGGGGTGCAGAAAAGATGCCTAATAGTATCAGATATACTACTGTGTCATGTTCAAACCCAATCAGTGATTGGAAAACAGCAGGACAGTTCTTACAGTACAAATGCACTTGCCAGAGACTAAGTCCCTAACTCCATGTAAAAACTATTTAACAATCAATTACCATGACTGGGCACTGCCTGAGGGGAGGGTTGCCCCTAAACACCAATTGGGAAGTACTGTCTTCACCTCAGTATGCACAAGACAGAACTGAATCTCAGGAGTACCGAGTGGACTTAGTCTATGCTTTCTGCAATATTTTACTTCAATCTGTGATGTTACTGTTCATGTCTGTAGATTATTTCTTGTACCAACATCTACAACTTTTTGTCCTTATCAAGACCATCTTCAATTTGCCCTAGCATAGCAAATCCATAGTGTAAAGATTGACCTTTTTAACATACTAACAATGAGTATCATGGTATCCGGTGTCAATTCAAATTTGAAATCAACCCATTAACCACACCTTACATATTGTTACTATGGATTGTGCTATATTTCTCCTATAAACTCAAGATGTCCTCCCAGTTTTAGGAGGGACTTCAGGTTTTAATGAAGTGTACATATTAAGAAAAAATAATGTTCAGCCTAAAACCCTTCCACTTCTCCACCTACTCATAAAGGAGTTCAATATTATTTCTCTTTTTACTATCAGTGAAATCAGAGTTTTACAGTTAATCTTTGACAGGAAAACATAATTGAAAAAAAAAGTCTCGACCTCAATTACAGGTCAAAAATTACGACGAATTTTCAGCGTATGGCAATCGGAATTTTCACCTTAAATCTATGAAGAACCATACATTTGTCTGCCTACATAATTTTTTTTTGTACAATTTCCTAAAATCAACTTAATTAGTTTTGAGATCTCGGTCGGATAAAAATAAAAAGGGACGGAGAGCAGAAATCCCCATTTTCAAATAACGAAAGAAATAGCAATAACAGAAGATGATCCCAACATGTTATCTCTCTGGTCAATAGTTTAGGACATTAACTGCTTGAAAATAGAGTAAAAATCACTAAGAAATATACCTCAGGCGTGTAAAATTGCCTTTTTTTTTCTTTGACGAGACTCAGAGACGTGAAACAAGTCCACCGACGATCTCCTGCGTCTTTTTCAGGAGTAGTTTCTTTATGGATATTTATTCGCATATGTAGTTTTCATCATTCCTTATTTCCATCATTCCTTATTTATATATTTTAGGTATTAAGTTTATTATCATATAGTTAACAATGTGTGCTAGGATAATCAATTAAAGTATTTTTTTATTGAGAAGACGTATGGAATCATTCATATACTTGTTTCTATATGGGGCATGTTCATTAGGATTAGATATCAAGTATTTATCTCTGTAAATATAACTATAAATAAGTAGAGTCCAATTATATTTTCTAGAATTATATTATCATTATATATTTCAACAATAGGAATAAGGGTTACTGTAAAGGTTTGTTCACTTTTTTATTACTGGATGGAAGGCGTTGATAGCAGACGACATTGCTTTTGGGTCAATTTCCTTTCGGATGAACAACAAATCCTTCAAATTATTATAGATTCTTTGTATTTAGTATAATATAGATTTTTTACATGGCTATAAATTCGACATAAGGACAATTTTTTACCCTTGAACTATAGTTTTTTTTATTTACGTTGGCAGCAGACGACACTTCTATTTTCCTTTAAATTCACATATAAATAGAGAATATATCATAATAAATACATAATTCCTACATATCATAAATTACTAAATCCTTTCTACTAGCAGAATTAGCATACACGAATATTTTTTTCTTTTTCCTACCCGGTGTGCTTGTAGACGTTGACAGCAGACGACCGGAGACGCGAATGTCAACAAACCAATGTCACGGGGAACAGTTGCTCTCCCAATTTCCCCTTTTTCGACCCCAAAGATGACTCGGAACGTTCTCTTATCGCTATGGGTGATAGTGGGCGTGGCGGCGGGAGGCGTGGTGGGCGAGGTGGAAGAAGAAATAGGCGTAGGAGCTGAGAGATATAAGATAGAAGGGCGAGTTGTGAGGCCCGAGTCCTCTTTGGTGAGCGCCGCCGAATGGTTCGCTTCCACTAAAGTCTTTACTAATAGTGGGCATTTTGGCTTTTTAAGGTGAGTTTTTAAGAAGGGAATTCTTTGAGTTTTTAAGAAGGGAATTCTTTACTGTAGGTGGATTTGTAAGAAGTTTGTATAATAAGGAGAAGATATTCAGAGAGATTTCAAGGACCTTTGAGTCTTGTGACATGGTGATGATGCAATAATGAGATATTACTTTGAATTTCTTACTGCTTCATTAGGGCAACGTGGAGGTGTACTTTGTATTTGTTTGGTAGAGACTATGTTTATTCTATAATTCTATGAAGCATTTTAGTCGAAAGATTTTCCTGCACAGAAGTAGGAAAAAATGGTACATTTAGTCGTCAGCTTTGTCAGACTAAGTATCTTTCTAAAAATCTCAGAAAGATAATAAGGGTGAAAAGTGCCCTTGTATTTAGGAGATTTGACAGGCTGTGCGAGGCCATTCGATGAGAAACACTGATGAGAAATGTTTTATTTTAAGTGTGTTGCATGGATTCCGATCCATTTTTAAAGCCATATAGTAGATATACAGAACAAATAGACATTAGTATCTCCTAGCTCCCCTGGCTAGGCAAATACAATACCACTAGGGTCCAAGGCTTCCTTGCTAGGCATTACATAGATCGTAGTGTATAAATCCCACAGGGTTAAGGTTAGGTTGGTTTATTGGTTGGGATACATTGTAGGATTACCACGGGCGCTCTGGATTATGTGAAATACTGTAATTTTTTTTTTACTGAACAATGGGTTTGATTCCCATAGAATTTGGCATGTCAGTCCGTAGACTTTTAAAGATGGCTGGGACGTCCATAGGGTTTCATTAAGCATTTTTTGTGCTTGTTTTACACATTTCTTTTTCTATTCTTTAAGGTATAGAATAATACTTATGGTTTATCCAAGTAGGGATTTTCTCAAATTTAGAGCTATATCTTCTTTCAGTGATGAGCCAGTAATTAATAGAAAACATTAATGTATGACTGATATGATATTGTACACATGCACACACACACACACACACACACACACACACACACACACACACACACACACACACACACACACACACACACACACACACACACACACACACACACATACACACATACACACACATACATACACATACATACACACACACACACATACACACACATACACACACATACACACACATACACATACACACACATACACACACACACACATACACACACACACACACACACACACACACACACACACACACACACACACACACACACACACACACACACACACACACACACACACATATATATATATAAAGCTATTAGTAAACTATTTTCAGCATAACTATTTAAAAAAAAAAAGAGAAATGAATGGCTACTAAGGTATAACTGCTGTTTTTTTTTCAGATATCCTACTTCAGTGTATTTATTTATTTCCAGGGCGTTTAGACATATGTAAATGATCCATAAGTGTAAAGACCAATTAGTCAATTTCAGCTCATTGCATCTTGGTTCATGGTTTTCCATTTGAGACTGTTTAGAAAATGTTTTTATAATTCAGGTTGTTTTATACTATTTACGCTGTGAGTAAAGCAATTTTGTAGTAGTATTTTAGAATGACCAGGATTGTTCTAGCTAGATATTTTTCTACATAAAAAAGACATTTTTCAGGAATTTGTAGAATAATTGAGAAAGTGAGATATACTGGAGCAAAGACAGATAATACAATCCATAGTTATAGTAGAATAGTTCTCAGAATACACAGCTCACTTTGCTGTTACAGGGAGGATGGGACCTTTGTGATCAACAATGTTCCATCGGGGTCATACGTCGTCCAGGTGATGAACCCCACCTTCATCTTTGAGCCACTGCGTGTTGACATCAACTCCAAGGGGAAAATAAGAGCTAGGGCTGTGAATCACATCCAGCCATCGAATGTTGTACAGGTAAGAGACAGAGACTGCTGTGTATTCCTATGTTTGTTTTATGTGTTTTATAGCTTTGTAGTTCATGTCAGTAGTAGTTTTTTCATGAATGGATTATAGATATCAATGAAACTAAAAAATATATAATGCTGATTTTTGTGTTAGATCTTAACTGAAATGTATGAATCCATGATGATAATATCTTTTAGATTTATAAAGTGTTCATTAGCAGATTGTTTCCTCAAAAAGTCACATGGACTTTGTAAAGTTTATTCCAGTGCCTTTGAATATTTTCATAATCTTTTCTGTAATGTTTGCATTGTCTTTCTTCCCTTAGTATGATATACATTTTTAAAATATTTTACTTGTAAGAACCTCAAATGATGCTTTTGTTTATAAAATAGAAACATGGCTCAATCTACTGTAGACATCAACATATTACAAATGAATTTGGGTTTTTGATTTCTCCCCTTTTATTTGACTATTTCACATTATAATGCATCTTACTTGGAGTCAATGAGCCTCAACTATACTTGCAAATTTTGAATCACACTAATTATAAATCACTATCTGCAATAGATGCCACATCCTCTGCGAATGAAGTCCTTGGGACCTTACCGCTACTTCCTCGAACGTGAGCAGCTGCGCATAACGGACTTCCTCATGAACCCCATGGTATTGATGACTGTTCTCCCACTGGCCCTCATGATGATTCTGCCAAGACTCAATGACCCTGAGACACGCAAGGAGATGGAACAGATGCAGATGCCCAAGATGGACACCCCAGAGCTCTCAGAGATCATGACTTCCCTCTTTGGTGGTGGAAGCACAAGCCACAACCAGGGGGCACAGCAGAAGACCAGATCGCGCCCAAATAAACGGAAGGAAAAATAGACCCAATGAATCACTATTTTTATCAGCAAAACAAATTGTGTACCCCTGTGTGTAAAGAACTATTTATACAGACTGTCGTGTAAGGGATATGTATCATTTGTCTGTTGAAGTGTTGCCTTTTGAGATTGTTTCATTAGCAAATATTCTTTTATAGGAAAGAAAATGGAATGAGTGTTAGGTAGTACAAGTGAGCATTGTCACAAAAAAAAAGAAAAAAAAAATTGATCTAAGGGGCAACAGGAGGAAATACCACATGAGGTGTGAGTGGAAGAATTAAACTTTATATGAGTGTGTGTATGTATGTGGGAAAGCTATTTAGAAAAAAAAAAATCAATCAAGGAACCACCCTTTGCATATTAAAGATGAAGAGAGCAAATAAATATGTTTTGTCAAATTTGTTGATATAATATTTAACATTCTTTTCTTCCTGGTGTCATATTAAACTTTTTAAAGAACAGTCCAATTCAAATTGAGTTACAAAACATGACTTTTTTTTTTTTTTTTTTCCCCCAGACACATACTTTTGTGAAACTTTCCAAAGCGTTCAAGTGCAAACATTAATCTTTTTGTGATGCTGTATATGTGCTTAGTTACAAATGTTTGAAAATAAAAGTGCCTACTTCTTTTCTAGTTAAAGAGTTTCCCCAGCGACAGAAGGCAGTTTAACATCAGTAATAGCTTGCATTATATGGCTGAACATTAATATTACTATATTCCTATGTTGAAAGTATATAAAGAGAATTTAGTTTGTAAGTGCAGGTATTTAAAAGTGATAGTTCACATTATGGGGAAAAAATGAATGATGTCAAAAAAAATAATTATATCTGTGTTTTCAGTTATAAAAGTGCATCAAGTTAGCAATGTATGGGTAATGCGTAAATATAAGGTATATTTTATCCTTTTTTTCATGAACCTGTTCATCAACAAACAAAAATATAGTGATGCATTTACTATATATCTTTTAGCTTTTGTCTGTATCATTCATACTTCTGGTTCATGGCATTGGAAATCCTATTTCACATTGAAGATCAGACCTATAAATAATTGAACATCACATGTTGTAAGTTATCAAAGTAATGTGAATGGGTTCCTGTTGTACTTTGTGATGCTATTGTGACAGTTGAAAAGGCAGTAATGTACTGAAAATTATTCCAGTTATTGCTTGATTTATACCCCAGAATACTTACATTAGCCAGAATGAATCTTTAGACCAGAAATTATAACAGTTGAACATTAACCATTAACCTATAGAAGAAAGTGAAAAGAAGAAGAAATATACAACTTCAGTTCATTTTTTATTGAAATTAACCACCTACAGTAGCATGGGCAAATATTAATGTAATAAAAACATGAGAGAGAATGACTATACCACTCAGTTTGACTGCTTTTGTTTTTTATCGTGAATAATATCAAACATCTTTGAATGATTTCTAGCATTTTGTTTTATTACCAAGTCTCATCATTATGTTCAGCTGTTCACAAATGGTTATTATTTTCTGCATATCAATTGATTTAACAATTAATAAAATAGATAAAACATGGTTTCTTTGTTTCATTCCTTTTTGTCCAAACCATAGTGATTTATATGGAACCAAAAAAAGCAAGAGACCATTTTCCTGGCCTGTTTACTTAGTGCCTATCATGGTTTATTATCATCTTTTCATTGTGCACCATGCAAAATGTTTCCATAACCTTAAAACAATAATTACTGTTTCTCCATTGCTTCCTTCCTTGTTGTATCTTAAGAAAACTTAGACTGAAAAAAAAAACTATGAGACTGTCTGTCATTTTATAGTGAACCACATGCATGTTCATTGGCTATGAGAAATAATGCTTCTCTTCCTGAGGCTTGTCTACACAGGCAGGTATGATTAGAGATAACATCACAGGCAGACAAAGTACAAAGTAAACATGTAGTTTCCTTACGTGTGATGTCACCTTTACAGTTGCCTGCTGATCTTGCCTGCCTGTGTGGACAGGTCTTTAGACTTGGACATATCTGACAGTCTCCACTATGAATGGAATTTAGCAATCACATAACTAATTTCTTGTGTTGATCACTAATTCATATAAATTAGTCTTATTATTGCAATAGTGATAATGGATATATAGAGAAAAGTCAGCCAGCAGCTGACTAATCCATTGGATGTAGCTGCCCAAAATTCAGACAATAGGCTTACTTGATTGCCAACTCTCCAGGGTGTGTGGCTTGTAGGCATGTGGTGCTAAGACTCCTTGCTTCCCCTCTGAAATGTTGTAATCTCTCTTTCTGCAGAAGCATTTTTTGTTTTTTTTAAGCCATTTTTCAAGGTCTGCATTTGCCATTTGATATGCTGTATCAGGATGATAATAGACCATTTTCCTTGCACAGACTCCGTATCATCTCTATGTATTCTATAAGTCTTTTCAGTAGCAATAAGAATAAGTAATATTTTGTTATTTGTATCACTTTTTAATATTCCTTTTTTTGTAATATACCAAGCACCACCAATCACAACAGGTGAAAATAGTGTCTTCACTGGAGCCGGTCATGGCTCGGAGATGATACATTCCACACTTGTTTACTGATGGAAGTAATGTAAGTCCTTTCCTAAATTCCCACTAAGTGTAACCGCGGTCCAAGAGCTTCGTGCACTTGTAACGAGTCATTCCCACCACCCCAGCCTTCAACTGAAATTCTCATGAAAGCATATTCCTGTCAAACCAGCCATCAACCAAATTTTTTCATAACAACATATTCAGGCCACCCTGCCCTAAGCCTGATTTCTTAATGATGAGATGATTGTGTCACCTAGATCCAAAGGGTTATGCTGCCTTCAGACTCCACCAATCAGCTTCCAATTGTTTTCCTCAAAGAAAATACTGGACATGAAGTCATTAGATCTGAAACTGAGGGTTCTATGTTCACTCTGCCTCATTGAAAGCTAATGGAAACTTATATGACAAACTATGTTGGGCAGGATAGGGTTACTTATACACAAACAATTTAAAAGTTTGTAAACATATAAAAAATATTCCTAAGGATAATAATATATCCTTAAAAGCATCCTTAATGATTATAAATATTCATGTGGTAGATAATGTTAAATCAATCCTAAGCTAATTTTTTTTTCAAGCCCATTTTTTTCTGTCTCGTTTACTGTTTTGTAATTCAAGAACTAATGAAGTTTCACACAAAATAACAACAGTATTCATAATAATAATATATGTAATGATAATAATAATAAACCACCAATAGTAGTAATAGCAATAATAATAATAATAATAATAATAATAATAATAATAATAATAATAATAATAATAATAATAATATAATAATAATAATAATAATAATAATACTAATAATAATAATAATAATAATAATAATAATAATAATAATAATAATAATGATAATAATAATAATAATAATAATAATAATAATAATAATAATAATAATAATGATAATAATAGTATTAATAATAATAATAATGATAATAATAATAATAATAACAATAGTAACAATTATGACCATGATAAAGGTAATGTTAATGTACTTTTTTATTATTCTTTTCTCTTCTAATTTCCAGATAAAACAGCAATAGCAGTAATAATAATGATGATGTGATGATGATGATATTAATAATAATAATAAAATAATAATAATAAAATAATAATAATAATAATAATAATAATAATAATAATAATAATGATAATAATAATAATAATATAATAATAATAATAATAATAATAATAATAATAATAATAATAATAATAATAATAATAATAATAATAATAACAATAACAATAGTAATAATTATGACAATGATAACATTTTTAAATAAATTTCTCTCTTTTAATTTCCAAATTAAACCAGCATAAACCTTCAAGTAGCAACATTCCCTAAGGTAATTAAATGATTTTTTACCACTGAATTATAACATTTATTACAAGTAATAGCATAAAGCCTTGATTAAAAAAAAATTATCTTTAATAACCACTCTCTCTTAAGGGAATTTATAATATGTGAGAATATCTGATCTCCAGTACAGGCCTCCACATGAACATTTTTCACTGGTCTGAAATTAAACCTAGCTCCAAATAATCCCTAATTTCCACATAATCTTACTCTAAAGTACTAATCAGTTTTTCTCAAAGGAGTTTCAAGGAACGGGTAAAATTATTTTATACAAATATTTAGGAAAATCTCTGAATATTCTTAATAATTGTTACAATGCTAACCAGCTACTTATTGCTAAAGGCTTTGGCCACATAATAATAACATTTAAGAAAAGGAAAGTATAAAAAAAGTCTGACAAAGAGAAAGAAAGGACAAAAGATCTTTTAGACATAATATCTAAAATATCTCTGACTACCAAATCTCAATAACAAACAGTAAACAGTCCATTCTCATCATTTTCAACAAAATAATATCCATATATTTTTCTCTCTCTCTCTCTATGTAATCTCTAATATAAATAATCACCCTCTACTACGGGTAGGGCAAATTCAGAGTCTTGCGGACCAGTCTCTCGGCTATCCTGTTGAACTGGTCCCTATCGTCTCGCCACATCTTTGCCGCATCAACATTTGCACTGCTTTCGTCATTGGGCTCTGTTCAAGAGAGGGGTAGAGAGGTTGAAAAGTTTTTATAAAATGGATTTTTGTGTGTGTGTGTGTGTGTGTGTGTGTGTGTGTGTGTGTGTGTGTGTGTGTGTGTGTGTGTGTGTGTGTGTGTGTGTGTGTGTGTGTGTGTGTGTATGTGTGTGTATGTGAGTGTATGTGTGTGTATGTGAGTGTATGTGTGTGTATGTGTGTGTATGTGTGTGTATGTGTGTGTATGTGTGTGTATGTGTGTGTATACGTGTGTATGTGTGTGTATACGTGTGTATGTGTGTGTATGTGTGTGTATACGTGTGTATGTGTGTGTATGTGTCTGAAAAAATATGAAGACCAACAGATTTTTTTTTTGTTTAGTAATATCCAGTTTGCTGTTTATGGTTAGCAAAAGTCTACATCATCAGAAAAAAAAAGAAAAATCACTTTTGGCTTTGTCAAGAAAATAAATAAAATTTAAAAAATAATAATATAAATTTAAAAAATAAATAAATAAAACCATAGGGTCCTTCAGGATTATACTTAACCAAACCCCAAAACCTGCATAAACAAAAAGCAAGTTTGGCATGATTGTCAGACTCTTGGCATAAATCATGTACCGCCTAATCATCAACCCAAAATCTAATGATCTGGTCCCTAATCCTAAGTCCCTAAGGATTAGGGACCTAAGTTCAAGCTAAGTCTTTATTACATAATAAAGATCTTACTTCTGAATCCTTCTTCTATCTATACTCATAGAGATGGAGAGAAGAACGAATTATATAGTATAGACAAATTACTTAACAGACAAACAAATATCATATCATATCTCTCCTCAAAGAAAGAAGAACTTAGCCTATACCTGAATTGTCAAAACATAAAGACTCATTCACATATGATAAGAAGAAAAGATGAAAACCAATACATGGGCCTGAAAAACAGAGAGGAAGAATCAAATTAACTATCTCACCTGCAAGCATGGATACGACAGAGAGCAGGATCTTCTCAACACTTTGCACTGGACTCCATCTCTCGGCACTGGACTCATACCCCATGGGATCATCGCCAGGAGCATGAAGAATTGAGATACATACTCTGCCATCTGGGTAAACTGAGGAAGGAATAATAAAGTGTAAAATTTCCAAATGTTTCCATTCTTTCTGGTAGTAATAACACATGATTTTGTCTCCTCTGATACATCTTCACAGCAAATATATTATTTGTAACATTGGATACAAAAAATGAATAAATAAAATTACCTTACTCTGATACAAATTATACAAGGAACTATATAAAAGATTCATATACATAAAACTGTCAATTAGTACCAACAACCAAGAACACTCACTATTAGGGTGAAACATCTCACATGTAAACTGCATTTTGGGAGGAGAGAGTGGGTAGTCTGGAGGAAAGATCAGTTTGGCTGGAAACACTCCACATTCGAAACATGTTCCCTCTGGGCCCCTGTCATTAAATAAAATGTACTTAGATTTTTTTTTTCCTTTTCATACTATAAGCTTTCTATAAAGATTTACATGATTAACTTATAATTAATTTTGTACAGTGCACTAGCAGTAATGACAAGTTTATCTAATCTTTCTTTGTATGTACCCGAGTTGAACAGTAACATCAGGCATACCCAGTGTGGCATTTATGTACTTTCTGGATCCTTGTTCCTATTTTGGGAAATTTTGGCAAGAGACTTCAACACTTGAAGAAGGCAATATGTTATCTTCACATCTAGGCCTAATACTATCCCCTACTTAATAACTGCATGTCTGTAATGTTAAATGGTTAAATATGTGCTAATTCTGAACTTGAAGGTAAATAAAAGCTGACATAGAAAATCGAGATTCTTAGTAATCTGTTACAAAGATGTGCATATCAAAATGAAACCAGATAAATGACATGTATATTTCTTTTACAGTGAAATAGAAATTAAATTAAAGAGCACATCAGCCTAAAA